CAATATGCGAGATAACGGCACTTTCTAGTCAATGCGGTTCAATAATCTAGCACCATATAAGTGAGTAAAAATGTGCGTCTTAGCATTCGTAATTCTCCAACTCGACAAAAGCAATGAACTTCTTGCTGATCAGCCTTCTGCTTCTTTCCATCCTTGTAGTAAGCCTCGGAAAGACTAAATGTCGCCTACTTTGCTTGAAAATCTGTAAAAACCAACGGATCAAGGTAAGGGGCAGATCCATATTTATTGCATGAATGCTAGCGTATTTTTCAAGTCAAAAGCTTCTCGCCCATGGGCAGAGACAGAATTCAGAAGATTCGAAGATTTACTCTCTTAGCTCTTATAAAATGATTATTTAGAAATGCCAAGGACGTCCTCCTCGCTGTACGTACGTCATTAGGAGAATATGTCACACAAAATGCACGCCAAAATGCTGAAAACACCGTTCCGTCGTTTTGGAAGAAAAGCAAGCTCATTGCAAATTGTGCATATTACCGTCTCATTTCTTGTTGCTCTGCCAAAATGGGCAATGCGAAAGGTTGTGCAGTAATTCAGCTGCAATTTTTTTATCGAATAAATATGTTGTTGATTGAGTAACGGCTGTGAAAGACAGATTCTGATGATAATGGCCGCGCTGCACGATAGCCTCACCACCACGTTTGCAGTTAGGGTTCGGCACGTGCTGCATCCACCAAAGGATGTCACGTTGTAATTCCAGAAAAAATTCACAGTCTCCGTTGACCTTTCGATGGCCCCTTGTGTGTTGCTTGACCCTGGAACAAGTGGAGAGAAACCAGAAACCTCTTTTTTACCATTCATACCACAAAAATTATGGGGTGTAGGCCCTTCCGAACCTGCCCTAATCGCGACGGCTATAAGAGGTCAGCGCTAATTAGAGGTCACTCCATGATTGGCTAGCTCGCGGGAGCGAGCAGCTGACCTGGCAGACGCGCTGCGGAGGCGGACGGGTTTCACATCACTGGTAACCTACTTCACAATCAATGAGATTCTGGAAGTAATTCTTTATTACTAATTTCCCCAGATTCCCTAGAATTCAATAACTTAAGTTATTCGCTCTACTCTACACTACTTAAATCGCCGGCTACTTTCTAAGGTGGTATGTTTTTGACCTATAAGACATTTTCAAGTCTTTTTCGACTTATTTTACTGTTTTTTTTAGTTCGATTGCTTGCTCTACTCTCCTAGGTCTTTGTGAGTTCGATTGCATACTCTACTCTCCTACGTTTGCCTCCTTGCAGCATCATCTAGTCACATTCAATTGAAATGTGCACTACATGCATGCCAGTAGGAAGCATACGCTTTTTTATGATGAGTTTTTAGTTTTTTTTATGAAGTTTTTCTTACACCGTCCATATCAAAAACGCAATCAAATAAAAATGCATCATCTTCATTTGGTAGCGTGATCTACATGGATTGATTTTGGTAGCGACCTTTTCTTTGCTGCACGCATCATGCTTTTTAAAGCGTAAAAATTTCAAATGCACGTTCGTAAATTTTACTAGGAATGAGGATTTTAAGGAGATGATAATTTTCTTGGAAAGCTACAGAGATGCATTGAAACGTCAGAAGGAAATACGCATTTGATAACGAATTAGCGTAGATCACAAATTTGAGTTATAATTGGCCTTTATAAAGAGTTGTTACAAAACTTTGATTACGTGAGCTTTCCTCAATAACATCAAGCAGCTCACATTAGCAATATGATGTGACGATGCACGAGGTTATAAGGATCGCACACACAAGAGATATAAGTGGAAAAAAAGCAAAAAAAAAACAAAGTTCGAAAGAATTCAAAAGGATTCATGAGAAGTTTTTTATGAATCATGGAAATGAAAAGACTTCGGAAATGTCCCATAAATCATAAACATACCTGCTGGGAAGTAGGGCTCAGAATACCAAACATTCAGAGGATGATAGCTGTGTTTGGTTGAAATCAGCGTGGTTGGCTTACATTCCATAATGCAACAGCCGCACGAAAGGAGTTGGTGATTTTCGGAAATACGAGCCCTTCGCGGAGCACTCGTCCGCAGTCATCGCAGCGCATGCGCGCGCGTCCTAATTCTAGATTACTGTAGGGAACGGTGGGTTCAGAAGGGCCGTCTCCCAAATTATGTTCTACATTCCCCTGCGCCATCCGCTGAGCGCGTTTTAGTTTTATATGTCAAGATGAACGATAGCTGGTAACAGTGGCGCGCGGGGTCATGAACTGGCAATAACGTGTTCGCTCGAAGCTCCGCCCTACTGCGGCGGACGAGTTTCTCGGACAATATGTCAAGTAAAAATAACTAAATAATAATAATAATAATAATAATAACTTCTGATAGTGAGATATAAGCTTGTTACAAGCTGGGGTGAAGCTTGACTGTTTACAGAAACTTGTTTTGATTTTTATTTTCTTTTTTTGGCAATCAGTGAACAGCGAATGTTTTAGTCGTGAAATTCGGGAGATTTGCTGATTTACCTATGAATGACCAAGTGACTCCTGGATATCGAACTTTGAAGTGTGAAATCAATCTAGAACACCTCGGGCATGACTGTCTGAGTGACCTCACATCTTACGATTAGTTCACACGCAATTGCGATTGAGTTACAGATCGATTTATATTGAGGATAACAGTTTTCGGTAGCAAAATGAAAGATTTTGTTATTCAAGACAGTTTCGGAAATATATAGGTGCACTATGATTTTCCTGAAACCTAAGAAAATTTATGTGATATGACGAATATTTTCAAAACAAGTTAGAAACAAAACTCGCCTATAATGCTTGTTTTGAATTCTCGTCGCAATGAAATCTGTTTTTAGTTATGATTAGGGTTTTAAAACTTACTTTTCCGATAAAACATATAATGGTCTTTTATTTCATAAGCTGAATTTCTTTGAAACTGAACTTGAGAGTGCACATCAAAGCATATTCAATACTAGCTGGCTTACCCAGCTCCGCCGTATCCGGACCAAGCTTGGCACACATACACTTCGGGCCCCGGCGGGTGTCACAGTCCACTTTTCGTTATCGATCGATGTCGATTTTGCCGATTTTTATCGATTTTTTTGCATAGTTCACCTACAGGGCTAGGAGTTGGCACAGGGGGGAAGTGAGCATGGGGATTCCGAATACAATATTAGTTTTCAGAATTATCGATTACTTTTATTGGTTTTATCGATTTTTTGTAAATTTTGACATGCGAGGCTGGGATTTTGCACAGGGAGTAATCGAGCATGCTGATTACGAACACAATATTAGTTTTCAGGATCGTCCATTACTTTTATCGATTTTATCGATTTTTTTGTAAAGTTTGACCTGCGGGGCTGGGAGTTTGCACAGGGGGTAATCGAGCATGCAGATTACGAATACAATATTAGTTTTCAAGATCGTCCATTACTTTTATCGATTTTATCGATTTTTTGAAAATTTGAGCTAGGGGGCTGGAATTTGGTACAGGGGTGTAATCGAGCATGCTGACCACCCCCCTTGGGGATGATCAGCATGCTCGATTACCCCCCTGTGCCAATTCCCAGCCTCCTAGCTCAAACTTTACAAAAAAATCGATAAAATCGATAAAAGTAATCGATAATCCCGAAAACCAATATTGTATTCGGAATCCCCATGCTCGATTACCCCCCTGTGCGAACTCCCAGCCCCGTAGCTCAAACTTTGCAAAAAATCGATAAAATCGATAAAAGTAATCGATAATCCTGAAAACCAATATTGTATTCGGAATTCCCATGCTCGATTACCCCCCTGTGCCAACTCCCAGCCCCGTAGCTCAAACTTTGCAAAAAAATCGATAAAATCGATAAAAGTAATCGATAATACTGAAAACCAATATTGTATTCGGAATCCCCATGCTCGATTACCCCTCTGTGCCAACTCCCAGCCCCGTAGGTGAACTCAGCAAAAAAATCGATAAAAATCGATAAAATCGATATCGATCTATGACGAAAAGTAGCCTATGACACCCGCCGGGGCCCGAAGTGTATGTGTGCCAAGTTTGGTCCGGATCGGTTCAGAAATGGAATTTTCTATTCGGAACATACGTACATACATACATACATACAGACATACAGACATACAGACATACATACAGACAAACAGACATTCAGCTTTATATATAAGATGGTAACAGATGTAAATAGAGAAAAACACTTTTCCAAGCATTTTCGAAAAAAATCCTCAAACCTGCAACTATAAAATCATTTTAGACAAGCCTACTAGGAACAAATAACTGAAACACATTAGAACGAGCTTGTGAACTGATTCTATAATGAAAAATGATCTGAAAACTGATTCTTAATTCAATTGAAACTTTGAAACCTGCTGTTTCCAAATTGCAACCAACTGAAGAAACAAGAACGAAGTATGAGTTCTCTAACAGCTGTAACGCATTCCTAGGCTATTTAACAGGGGGCGGAGCGACCAGCGCACCGCGTACGGTACCCAGCTGGCGGCTGGCACATGCTATCGTTCATTTTGACCGCCACCCTGGCAATTGCCACTCATCCGCTTCCTTCTCCTCCCCATTTCCTTCCTCACCCTCGACTTCCCCTCCTCCCTCTACCTTTACTCCCTCCACCTACCCCTCCCGTCCCTTCCAGAAGAGATTAGCAGAGGTTGTAAGTATAGCAAAACGTGAACTCCTTTGAAGAGCAATGTGCTACCAATGACATTTTCCAAGGACTATAAAAGAGCTCCAACAGACAACAACAAACGCAAACAGTGCGAAAGTCGAGGACCTTTATGGAAATTGTCTGTATGCCACATTAGAAGCATTCAAGCAAACAAACAAAATCGTCCATTTTGAGGACGATGATGAACAATGCAGTAAGTGAGAAATAAATTAGTAAGGGTAGCAAGTAACATTTCACTTTAGACATAGGGAATATGGGGCGCCTAAATGTACAAATCCTGCTCGGTTTAGTGATGAGAGAAGAGAAGCACATATAAATTATATTGATCTTGCAGTTTCTGTGAAGGAAGCCGCTCAGTCGTAATCGTCTGGAATGTTGGCGAATGTTCCTATGGTTGGGAAGTGCACTGCGCTGAAACCATCAGTTCCTCCGACGGAAGCAGCCGGAACGGCCCAATGGGCACCCCAAGCGAGCTGAGTCAGTGATGACATTATATTTGAAAGACAAAATGCAAAAGGTGTTTTACCTGTCCGATGAGCCAATCCACGTTGACAGATCGTGGGGCGTAGTACCACTTGTTTGCATGATCTCTGTTGTGCGGATTGTCCGGATTTGCTTCCCAAAGACCTGAGAACCAACTTAGCTCAAGGACGATAGATCGTCATTTCAGTTTCTAACGTAGGACTAGGTGGCGGTTAAGAAACTGGGCGCGTATATTTGAGGTCGGCTTTTTTGTTGAATTCAAGGAGGTAAGGTATGTACTAAATGAACGTGGTCAAGTATTAGATTGGTGCAAAAATAATGGCCGACTTTCCACGCCTTTTTTCAGGGCAACTTTTTAAATCAAGACTTCTTCCTTCAAATAGATGTGGTGTACGTTCAAGAAGCTGTTTTCATGCTCTATCTAATGGTGTTTGAAAGAGGCTTCCATCCTCATCTCTTTATAAAGTTACTGAGCTTCTAACCATGTCCAAATTCAGAATTTCATTGCATCCACTTTTTTGGCCAGAATTAAAGCGCTATCAATTGCTCTTCTTTGAAAATTTAGCTAGTGTATGCAATAGAAATTGTCTACATTATGCATACTTGACTGTAATCTTTGAGATTATCCAGACTGAGATATCGGCGAATAAACATGGGCAGCTGTTGCGGTCATTTTATGACCCATAATTTTCTTCTAAGAAAGTCAATCGCCGGAGCTTTGCTCAGTTCGGTAAGCGTAGGGCTAGGGCATCCTATTAGCAGTTTTTGCATAAACATCCAGCTGTTCAGTGCGTAGAAAATCAAAAAATTCTATATTCGGGACTTTGAGGCACACTAAAAATGTTCAAAAAAGTGAGAAATTTCAAATTTTATTTTTTTTTGTTTTTCTCAAACTTTTTTGTCCGAATTCTTTTTACTGTGTTTTGTGCTACTGGCTTGCGGCTACAAGATAGGCTACTTATCATTCATAATAACAAACTTTGAAGGAAGATATGAATTGTAAAAGACAAGGTTCTAGCAGAAGAACCTTTTTTGTTTTCCATTCCATATTTTTCTGCCCGTTCGTGATATGAGTATAAGGGAATGTGCGCTGCATTGCAGAAGGCTTGCTGCTTCTGATAGTTTTTACCGCATTCCGGAATGTGAGTTCTTCAAAAGTTATAGCACGTCAATTGAGAATTCGCAAATCGGCCATTACTTTTGCACCAACCTAATACTTATACGCTACCCTTTGATTCAACAAGTGGGCGGCTGGAAGACGACCGCTCGCGTCCTCGATGCAGTCTGCGTGTCTCTCGCTAATGTGCTTTCTGATCATTCTCTAGCCTCAATTAGGTCAAGCCCCGCTTCCAGCCGCTAATCCAGTTGAATCAAAGGGTACGTCAGGAGCAATCACGCGCGCTGCACTTTGTTCAATCTTTCTTCAAATTGGTGAAAATTTGAGTTTGCCATTTATTCTCCTTCTCAAACAGTAATCGCACTATGTTATAATCTAAACTTCGCTATCGTAATCGTAGCAACGCGACCAGACCACACGTCAGGACTCAAACCTCGCGCGGCGGCTTCTTTGAAGGGCACGCACTCGAATTTTGTGGCTTGAAAATACTACGGTGCTGAAGTGACACGGCGCGAGAATAGGGGGGGGGGGCAGATGCATTAGGCCAAAGTAACTTTGCGCAGGAGTGCTGACTGGTGCTGTTGGACTGGTCAATGTCGTAGCAAGACAACGCTTCGCGGAAATCTCGTAAACTGCGAATCACGACTTCCCTCACGACCAATGCTTTTAATCACATGTACTCAAAATGCTCCGCCTACTAACTGTCATTTCAAAAGGTGCTGTGTTAGTTAAGCCCTTGCATTGATTTCTTGCGGTGCAAGCCATTTTTACTTTTCTTCTTATGAAGAATTTGTTTAAGTTTCAAGGAGTTTTTTTTTACAAGAATTTCAGCGTTTGATTTCTTCTGTGGGGCAAATAGAGTCATCACTAGCTTGATCCCTCTTCAAAAATCAATCCTATTCAACAGATTGGCGGCTGGAAGGCAGGGCTTTGAAGGCTAAAGAATGGTCAAAGAGCAGGGGCGCGAGGGAGACGCAGGCTGCGTCGCGCGTGCGAGCGGTCGCCTTCCAGCCGCTGGTCCGGTTGAATCAGAGGTTATCCTCACATGAGCAGTGGTAACTGAAAATTGGCGAAAATGAGCAAAGAGATATGAAAAGTCACAATGTAAACTTTTAGGGCACTATGTACATCTTGAATCGTCTCCTTAAGTCAGAAAACACTCATCTTGCAGAGTACTCAATAACATTAATCACACTATTCCAGTATCCAAACCCCAAAATTCCAAATCCAAACCCCAATAATTTTCGTCTGCTGTTTGATATGGGGGGATTTTTTTCGAGTTTAGGTATGTGATGTTAGCCACGCACTTTGAAAAAATTTTGGGATGTTTCTCAAAATTTTTGCAAACCCATATCAACCGCGAGGCCGCTGCCACTCGTTCGGAAAATTTTTTTGCAAGGCTAAGTTGAATCTTTGAAAAAAATCAAAAATTACTAGGTCGTTCTGAAAGTAATGTCGTTTTTTTTGAATGAACGTCATCGGGGAATGAAGACTTCTAAGAGATCTCAGCTAATGGTTACAAGGTCGTTGCAGCGCAGTCAACGAGTTTTCAGAAATTTACTAAAATCTGCGACCCATGCTCTTCGAGATAGTCACGTATCACAAATTTTCTAGCTCAAATAAGATAATCATGGGGCAATCCCTAGAGGATGCAAAAGAGTTTTTTTCTTCTTTCTACAACTCGTCATACTTCTTTGATAAAATTTTAACAGATCCACCAATTTCCATAATTGGTCAAATAAAAACTCGTAGAACATCAAAGGGAGAGCAGCAGGTGCTATTCGATGTAGCTTTTTCTCCTTTTTCCAATAGGTATTTTTTGTTTCCAATTCGTGGAGTCTTCGAGGATAAATTCATCATACTCATGTTTTTGCGCCCCAGGCTGTTCACGAAAAACTCGAAAGTCGATATTTCGAATCCGTAAAACTCTCAGTTACTCTAAAAACTGGTGTTATATCATAGTACCATCTTGGATGTTTCAAATTCCGAAGAACTATTGGCATTCAATGCGATTATGGCTGACTTAGGCCTGCCAAAATACGATGGCTCTAGTAGTTTCAGTAAAATATCTTCAAAATATTATGAAGAGCTACGAAAAAGAAAAAGAAGTTGTGCCGTATCCTCTAAGGTTTGCCCTATCAATCTTTACTTGAAATCCTTCAAAGGGGCTATAATTGGAAAATTGTGGAACTTGACCATCTCGAAATGCATGGATCGTAGATTTTGGTTAATTTTAAAGAGCTCGTTGACTGCGCTGCAACGAGTTTGTAACCATCGAAAAGAGGATGCATTGCGCTTCGAATATTACCGGAATCTCTTAGAAATCTTTCTTCCACGAAATGTGGCGCTCATCCAAAGAAACGAGATTACTTTTGAAACGACCTAGTATGCAACCGTTTAATATAATAACAAATCTCTTGCTCATTTTCATAAATCGTGTAAGTAACCTAAAACTTCGGCCACCATATCGTTCCCAGCGCTTAACATTACTATAGGAAATTACCTATTGTCTATTACTAACAATACGGCAATGTCTCTCAAAAGCACATCGTACCTGGCTTTGTGAAAGGCGATCTGCTGCGAGGTCTGTGCAGGATACCCCTTGTATCAGTAAAGGAGCCATATTGCTGGAGGGCGTTTGAGAAAACGCTATCACTCGGTACGATTGGTACGTCTCTGTAAAATTAAAGATACTCAATATGCATCAACTATCACAACACCATATTCATTACTTCTCCCGCTCCGTATGTGTCGCGCCAATACCTGGATCGTCTCTGTAACATTTCATATTTGAAATCTATTCATAGAGGCTCAGTGACCTGCTTTAGAGTCTGATTTTCTTTTGAGTACCACTCGACATTCTCAATTTCTGTCGAGTACCATTCAACTTTGTCATTATGATTGTTGATAGGTGAGGCACTAGCTTGCCGTACGTTTGTGGCATTCTTGGATTTGCGCTGAAATTATACATATTCATAAAAAGGTGACTTAGGAAGCGGAGATTGCAGTTTAACCGTTAGATGGACTTGTTTCTTTAGAAAGGGATACGTTTCTTGTCTTGTACTACATTTGGTTCCAACGTCACAGGATGTAGTGTCAACTTCGTGCCACATGTCAAAAAAATTGGCATTCACATGTTCAACGGTTACTTTCTTACTGTGGTAGACTATCTCTACTAGAGTGAGTTCGCTTTAGTTATGATAAATATTCACCTATTTCTGAGTCAACAATTTAGTAGTCTAGTGACGAACACCAATTACAAATAAAGTCATGCTCTTCTTGAAGGACAGATTTTTCCAAAACAGCGAAGGCAAAGGTGCCTGATCGAAGTGGAGCAGGGATGCACTTTATGCCATTATTTGGACCCCTTCTTGGCTAAATGCGTGGCGGAAAGTTTCCGCCGGAAACATACGCAAAGAAGACATTTGAACTGTTGCTGAAAGCAACTGCAATGTTTGAGAGGACGTATCAGACTTACCTGGCCAAATAAACAACTGAGCAGATTTTGATTCATCTCAGATGCTCTGATACCTCATCGGGAGGTGGGAGGGGGGTATTTATCAACCTCCTTTTCTCTGATCAAGCTCGTTTTACCTTTATAAACAAGCTCTCATTGCCCGACCGAGCACTCCATAAATTTATGAAGCTAAAAGTGGCTGCAAATGGGAGATTGATGAAAATCAAAACGTTAGTTTTTGCCTAATGCGTTGCAGGTGGTGTAGGTGGCACGACCGTAATGCTTTCCACCCAGGACATCACCCCGCACGCGACATTCGCTGTGGCGACTTTTGCCTGGGTGGAGGACATTAGGTCGCCGAAAGAGGGCGGTCCCCGCGGTCATTTGCGACAAATACGCACCCTTGTACATACGCGGACATGCGTTCCTGCAGGGAATCCGCGCGGGACTCTTCCAAATTCGGCGACCTAATGTCCTACACCCCTTTTGCCTAAGCAAAGCGCAGAGGGGAAAGATTTGCCTCGTGCATGACGTTTTGGGACGGTCATTAGGGTGGCGCTAGAGACCGTCCACACGAAAAGACCGTCTTCCCCGTTGCAGGTAGAATCCATGGAAAAAAATTCTTACAAGTCTGAAGCAGTCTGGAGCACGTATCACATGAGACTCGAAAGTATGGGGTCCAGGTAACAGGGGTACGGATTTATATTCGATACATAGTGTTAACCTTACCTCGTGAACAAGCTCAAAATCCTCTGGGTCCAAAGAGATTGGAGAATCCCACCTTACCGTATCGGAAGGTGTCTCATCCCTAGAAAAGATGTTCAATATATGGAAAATATTGATTACTAACGCGGAAAGACTACTTTGTGACCAAAGCCATCCATAACAAGACACATGTCCTTACATGACCTTGGAACGCCAATTCCAAATCTGCTTTCACTTTCTGCTAAGCGAACATGGCAAATAAGTTATGAGTGATTTTCCACAAATAACGCCATCTCGGTTAAGCAAAACTATGAACGTTCAAACTGCTTGCTTCACTCCTCGGAACAATATTTGAAGAAGAGCGCGAATACTTTGAGCTTGGACAGCCCATCCCAACTGCATCCCGTCTCCTCAAAAAACTTGGATATCATTGATTCTGACAATGCTTTAATGTGCTAATTTGGGCCTCGATAGCCCGAAAGATTCTGCGGAAAAAAAGCCCATAACTTATTCCAGCAGTCATTGTCCGAACCACAGGTAGAAAAAGCAGATTTGTGACCAGCGTTTTAAGGCGCATTTAATGTATGTCCCATTACGAATGGTCATGGTCATCAAGTATTCCCTTGTAAGGAATTATGCAAATCCTCCTACCTGGCCACGGTACCACCTCCAGGTTGTTTAACAACAACTGGAATTCGCTCGCCGTTAGGTGAAAGAACGCTGAAGGGCTTGGAGCTCTGCAGCAGTTCTAAAAAGTGGAACAACTGGTACCTAGGAAAACAGATAAGCCAAATTTACTTACCGACTTTCTTTCCCTTCTCCGCTTTGGAGTAGATAAATTGGGAGGCATAGTGGTACTGCTCGCATTTAGGACATCCGGAATACCACAGTCTACAACAATATTCTTGATTGTTCCCATTCTCTGCTGAATTTCGTTGGTATCATTCTCTTCTGCTAATTTCTGCCGCCTTTGAGCATCAGTCACATTGAGTTCCGCCATGTTGCAGTGAGCGATTTGGCAATTCGATAAATGCTTGCAAATTCACCGTGCAAGCATTTTCAATGCATCGCGCTAAGGTATACCTTCTTATTTTTGCAAGATGTCAGTAATTCTTTGAACGAATTGCGCTTCTGAATAATTACAAAAAATTGTGCGATAATAAATCGCGCAGCAACCGCATTCGCGCGAAGTATAGAGCATTCAAAAAATCGTGATGACGTATTCGACACCCAAGCATTATTAGAGCATACAACATCAAACTTTTTACGCTCAAATCATTTCATTGTCTAACGGCTAATATGTACATGCTGAAAATGTTTTGGAAAGAGAGGAAAGCAAAGAAAATGCTATTGTCGAAACAGCATACGCCGGCGGGCTACCACTGCTATCGTCGCAATTTTATAAGTTGATCTATATCCTCCCTCATTTGGAGAAAGCCCGACTAACGCGCGGCCGCCTCGCTGCCTGCCCCGCGTCAATTAGTCGTGGGAAGATGGTCAGAGAACACGCTCACGAACGCAGGGTCCGCGCGAGTCAGGCTCATTCTTAATGAGACAAGGATATGTTCCATGCCCTACCCAGGATTTAGCCGGAAGAAAGCGCAGAACCCAACGGCGCAAACGTGATTGCATCCTCCGAGGTACAGTCTTTTTCAACCCGGAGTAGGCGAAACATTCCAAATGGAGCAACGCACCCGCGCCGCCACTGGCTCAGCGAGATAGATTAGAATGAAGAGGAGCAGGCCGCAACGCCTCGAATCGCGAAGCCGTCTCCCGCCAGTCCAATTTCCGCCGAAACTGAGTTGAAACTTACTGTAGAGGACCATATGTCGCCGAAACAGGAGTGGTCCTTTGCAGAATCTGCACATACCAGCAGCCATGCATACTAAGGGGTAGAGGTCATTTTGTCATAGAAACGGGAGGTTCCATCTCAGACATTCGCGGTTGTCACCCGCAGGTTAAAATGGTGTGATCTCATTGACCAACGGCGCGTCACACGAAATCGGTGTCGGGACAAAATCAGGTCACCTGTGTTTGCAGCGGGGTGACCTGCGGGAGACACCATAATGCCCCGACAGGGCATTTTCCGGTCATTATCAGAGTGACCTGCGGGAGACACCATAATGCCCCGATCCTTAAAGCAGCGGTTCACCCTGATGGGTACATATATAGTGGTAAATATATATTAATATTAAATATATAGTGGAACACACAAGTATAGAGTACATACTCTATACTGGTGTGTTTCACGTCTACCGCGCTGTCATCTTTCACTGTCCCTAAAAAATCAAGCCATAGTTTCCATGTGCTCTCTTCTTTAAACCTGGGCATTTCGTATTGTTTGTTAGTGATATTGTGCCGAACAGGTTTTTATGGTGGATCTTTATTGCCTGACGTTTCGACAAATATCGTCTTCTTCGGAGGCCTGAAAGGGATTGCAGTTTTGTATCTGTCTGTCTACACGACCAAACGCCTCCTCAAGCTCGCGCGCTCAGACCTTGTCTAGAATCAACGTGCTGGGATCAATCCGAAGTAACAGTCACCAACCTTCGATCCACCGCTAAGTCAGTCAGCCCGCACGACTGTGACGGACATCACTGAGGATTGCCCAGTGTGTCAAAGATATATATAGTCTGTGGCTATAGTCGACATAATGATACGAATGGCAGAAGGTCACTTGTCATCGTCAAGCATTCATTTTTATTGTTCATCCCCGGATTTCCGGCGGATATCCACGCTGCTTCCAAGGTCTTTCGTGCCGAGATCTCGGTCTCATATGCTAGTATCGTGCATTTTACATTGAAATCGTCACCTTTATGTGCCTCGGCTCTATGTTTTCCCAACGGCGATGACATTGTCCCTCGCTTTTTGCTGGCCAAATGTTCTTTGACTCTAATGCTTAGTTTTCTTCCTGTCTCCCCTACATACGTGGCTCCGCAGCGTAAGCATTCTAGTTGGTAAACAGTACCTTCCTTTGCACAGTCGCCTAAACTTCCATATGGGCAAACGATGCAGTTGTCCGTTAAGCATTCTGTGTCATACAACCTATTTCTGATCAACCGCTTTTTGATGTTAGTGCTAGGAATGTTGACCAGCATCACCTCATCGTCTAACTGCGCTCGTGTTATGCATCGTTTGATTGCCTTGCTAAATTTATCGGACACAAAAGGCGTGCAGAGGGGGATTCTGTTGTCGTTGCTTCGCAAAGGTTTATCTACGCATCGCGAAGATTTTTGTCGTAATCGCGTAACTAGGTATCCATTGCTGCGAGCAATTTCGAATGCTAGTTGCTGTGACTCCAATCGTTCGCTCTCGCCCGTACAGACATCTACAGCGGTTTTGTACATATTGCGGATGACAGAATGCTTCAGAGCTGTAGGGTGTGCTGACGTGGCGTGGACAAGGATGTTTTTAGAGCTTTCTTTTCTGTACCATTTAATTCTAACAGCACCATTAGACAAGCATATCTGTGTATTCAGAAAAGAAAGCCAGCCACTATTCGGGGTTTCTCGTGTAAATTCTATGTACTGCGACTGCTGATTTAAAATTCTAAAACACTCATCCATTTCGGATTGTGTTGAGGTGACAATGAAGCAGTCATCGATGTAGCGGCAGTACATTGACGGCAAGCGTGCTAATACTGGCTCCTCGATTTTACTCATAAAACAAATCGCCAGGACAGGCGCGAGCCTTTGGCCCATCGCAAGTCCTCTAATCTGGGAATAGTAATTCCCAGACCACCTAAAGATGTTACAGCTTAAACATTCTTTAACGAGGGTCAGTATGCACGCTTTGCTCAGCCCAAAGGTAACCATGGTGGAATGGTATTTGTCTAACATTTCCGAAATGGCTTGCAGAGCGGCATTGTTATGAACATTAGTGTAAAGTGATGTTACGTCGAATGACTCGACAACACTACTAGGTTCAAAACTCATGCATCGCAGCTGCTTGACAAATTGTTGAGTGTTAGACAAATGTGCTGATACCTTTACCAATAGTTGGCTCAGAATTTTATTGAGGAACCACGATATTCGATCTGTGGGACCGCCTACGCAGCTTATTATCGGACGGATTTTATATGACTCAGGTGACATCGACTGGAATTGCTGGCCTGCTACTTTATGCGTCTTGATCATGTGGTAAAAGACCGGGCAATTTGGATTATCTAGCTTCAGTCTGCTAATCAACTTCTGATCGAGTCCTACAGATCTTCCAACACTAATCCAAACTTCATTTAACTTTCTACACTGCGCCAGATATTCTCGTTTTGTAGCAGGTTGATAAAGCGTGGTATCGGAAAGATGCAATTGCGCAATTTTTCGATCCAACGATTGTGGCATTATCACAAATTCCCCGCCTTTGTCACTTAAGGAGACTCGGATCGTTCCTTCGCGTATTAATTCACGCACCTCTCTAAAACCTTGCCACTGTTCTTGCGTTAGGTTAGTCTGACGTATACGCTCATATTGGCTCAAAACTTGCAAGATTTCGGTGGAAAGGATGCGGAATTTCGTATCTATCATAGGCACAGGCTCGGGTTCTTTATAGAATGATCGAGGGAATGGTAACATTGACAATGTCATACTATCCGTTGGCAAGACTTTCTGAGCACTACTTTCTTTTCTAGCCTTGATCCTCAACAAATCTCGCAAACGATGTAAACTACCCATTATCTTGCGGCACATAAAGGGACTTACGTTCTGCGATGGTGAAAACGATGGACCGAGGTTTAAAAACTCAACGGCTTGTGTGGATAAATGAACATCTCCGATGACAGTGACTCTTGCAACATCAGTACCACTCTGTAAGGAAAAATCAGTGAAACGGTGGTTCTGAGGAAGGATCGTCTTATCATCATCAAGTTTCCCACGCAGTGACTCCGAGAGTCGGTCGAACTTCTTGCAGAGCCTCGATTTAGCCTTAGATCGTATAGAGGTGCAAATGGACTTCGACCCGCTCTCAATCCTCCTCCATACATCTTCAGGCAGAAGACGTTTACAACTCGATTCTTTACACGAACATTTCAACAATGTGGAATACAGAACCCGTTGTTTTTCTTTGATAGCTAAATTCAACATTGAATGATAGATCTTGATAACTCGCATATCATCTTCACGTAAACAACAGGTACTTCCTATTTTCTTCTTTGAAATGAACGTTGGTAGAACATTGGACTTCTTGCACCGTCGGAGGAAGACGAGAGATTGACGAACCGCAACGACCTTTTGACGAAGCGATAGTGCTTCGCGCACCAGCGAGAACAGCTTTGGCGGTATATTGGTAAGTAGTTTCCATGTGCTCTCTTCTTTAAACCTGGGCATTTCGTATTGTTTGTTAGTGATATTGTGCCGAACAGGTTTTTATGGTGGATCTTTATTGCCTGACGTTTCGACAAATATCGTCTTCTTCGGAGGCCTGAAAGGGATTGCAGTTTTGTATCTGTCTGTCTACACGACCAAACGCCTCCTCAAGCTCGCGCGCTCAGACCTTGTCTAGAATCAACGTGCTGGGATCAATCCGAAGTAACAGTCACCAACCTTCGATCCAGTACTCTGCGTTGATACCACTGCTT